CTAACTGGAGGCACCTTCTGGGGATGAGCCATAAAAAAACAAATTGTGTCATTTTGGTGATTCCACATCCAAGTTAAACACTCTGATATTTGCATTTAAATTGGCATTGCACAAGATAAAGAGGAATGGTAAAATTTATTAAATTTAAATTTTACATTTTCCTTTACTTAGAACTACATTAAATACCAGATTAAAAAAAAAACACGGCAGGTTAAGAGAGAGATTGTGGAAGAAAGGAAAAGGTTTTTGTTTTTTTGTTTGTTTGTTAAAGAACCAATTTTATTTATTATATTTAGTTTTTGGTTGCGTTGGGTCTTCGTTGCTGCACACGGGCTTTCTGTAGTTGTGGTGAGCGGGGGCTACTCTTCACCGCGGTGTGCGGGCTTCTCACTGTGGTGGCTTCTCTTATTGCGAAGCACAGGCCCTAGGCACGTGGGCTTCAGTAGTTGTGGCACCCAGGCTCAGTAGTTGTGGCACACGGGCTTAGTTGCTCCGTGGCATGTGGGATCTTCCCAGACCAGGGATTGAACCCGTGTCCCCTGCACTGGCAGACAGATTCTCAACCACTGTGCCACCAGGGAAGTCCCAGGAAAAGGTTTTATAAGTTAGTATCTTCAACAGCACTTTTCCCTTTTTGTTTTGAACGAAGGGCTCCCCCATTTTCATTTTGCTCTGGATCCCACAAATTACATAGCTGGCCCTGCTCACTCTCCTTTTCCTGAGAGCACTGACTCCAATAAATCACTTGAACAATGCCCCTATTCCTGTCCCAGGCTTGGCTTCTAGGACCCTGACATAAGACACATGCAACTTATCCAGGAAAGAAAAAACTAGAATTCTCCACCCCCCCAAAAAAAAACACAGAAGCAGCAAGAGACAAGGCATTCATTGTGTCCTGTGGCCAGAGCAGAATCCAGTCTCTGCAACTGTCACACCTTCTCCTCCTTGCATCTCACCCTGAGCTCCTCTCTGAAATGGCGTCAGCAGGGTGATTGCTGAGGTTCTCTGATAATAACAGCTACCGTTTACTGAGCACAATCCACGTGTCAGACAGGTGCTTCCCACGCCTTATGGTCAATCCACAGGTCAACCCTAAGCAGCAGGTACCAGGATCCCCATGTTACAGACAGGACATAGCCTCGTGGGGTGAAGCCCAAGGTCACTCATCCAGCAAGTGACAGACCCAGCGTTAGGCTCCAGGGCCTTTGCTTTTCATCACCAGGCTACCCAGCTTCTGCTGCCCCAGTTCTAGCACTGGAGCCAGAGGGGTGCAAAAGACATGGTCCTTACAAGGGCACACCTTTTTTTCTCCTTAAAATTTTCTTTTATTGTTTTCTTCTGCTTACAAAACATAGGATTATTATAAAAATAAAGATAGAATACAAACACTGCAAGTTCCTATTTACATGTATTCCAGGCTGAACAATATTTCCAAACATTCTGCATTTAATCAGAAACTCCCAAAATAGAGATGGAACTCAAATTCAGTCCAAATCTGTTCCCCACCCCCCCAAACCCGCTTAACATTACTGGCAGGGTCAGTCCAGCCTCCTGGAATCACACAGCTCTAGTGACAAGGCTCTCACTTCTTTTTTTTTTTTTTTTTTTTTGTGGCACGCGGGCCTCTCACTGTTGTGGCCTCTCCTGTTGCGGAGCACAGGCTCCGGACGCGCAGGCTCAGCGGCCACGGCTCACGGGCCCAGTCACTCCGCGGCATGTGGGATCTTCCCGACCGGGGCACGAACACGTGTCCCCTGCATCGGCAGGTGGACTCTCAACCACTGCGCCACCAGGGAAGCCCTGTTGGAAGATTTTTAAACACAGTTTCAATTTCATTAATTGTGATTGGTCTGTTCATATTTTCTATTTCTTCCTGGTTCAGTCTTGGAAGCTTATACCTTTCTAAGAATTTGTCCATTTCTTCCAGGTTGTCCATTTTATTGGCATAGAGTTGCTTGTAGTAGTCTCTTAGGATGCTTTGTATTTCTGCAGTGTCTGTTGTAACTTCTTTTTCATTCCAAATTTTAGTGATTTCAGTCCTCTCCCATTTTTTCTTGAGTCTGGCTAAAAGGTTTATTAATTTTGTTGATCTTCTCAAAGAACTAGCTTTTAGTTTTATTGATCTTTGCTACTGTTTTCTTTGTTTCTATTTCATTTATTTCTGCTCTGATCTTTATGATTTCTTTCCTTCTACTAACTTTGGGTTTTGTTTGTTCTTCTTTCTCTAGTTCCTTTAGGTGTAAGGTTAGATTGTTTGAGATTTTTGTTTCTTGAGGTAGGCTTGTATTGCTATAAACTTCCCTCTTAGAACTCTTTTTGCTGCATCCCATAGGTTTTTGGATCATCGTGTTTTCATTGTAATTTGTCTCTAGGTATTTTTTTATTTTGTCTTTGATTTCTTCAGTGATCTCTTGGTTATTTAATAACGTATTGTTTAGCTTCCATTTGTTCGTGTTTTTTACATTTTTTTCCCTGTAGTTGATTTCTAATCTCATAGCGTTGTGGTCAGAAAAGATGCCTGATATGATTTGAATTTTCTTAAATTTACTGAGGCTTGATTTGTGACCTATCCTGGAGAATATTCCATGAGCAGTTGAGAAGAAAGTGTAATCTGCTGTTTTTGGATGGAATGTGCTATAAATATCAATGAAGTCCATCTTGTTTAATGTGTCATTTAAAGTTTGTGTTTCCATATTTATTTTCATTTTGGATGATCTGTCCATTGGTGAAAGTGGGGTGTTAAAGTCCCCTACTGGGATTGTGTTACTGTCCATTTCCCCTTTTATGGCTGTTAGCATTTGCCTTATGTATTGGGGTGCTCCTATGTTGGGTGAATAAATATTTACAATTGTTATATCTTCTTCTTGGATTGATTCCTTGATCATTTTGTAGTGTCCTTCTTTCTCTCTTGTAATAGTCTTTATTTTAAAGACTATTTTGTCTGATATGAGAATTGCTACTCCAATTTTCTTTTGATATCCTTTTGCATAGAGTATCTTTTTCCATCCCCTCACTTTCAGTCTGTATGTGTCCCTAGGTCTGAAATGGGTCTCTGTAGACAGCATATATATGGGTCTTGTTTTTGTATCCATTCAGCGAGCCTGTGTCTTTTGGTTGGAGCATTTAATCCATTCACATTTAAGGTAATTATTGATATGCATGTTTCTATTACCATTTTCTTAATTGTTATGGGTTTGTTTTTGTAGGTCCTTTCCTTCTCTTGTGTTTCCCATTTAGAGAAGTTCCTTTAGCATTTGTTGTAGAGCTGGTTTGGTGGTGCTGAATCCTCTTAGCTTTTGCTTGTCTGTAAAGCTTTTGATTTCTCCATCAAATCTGAATGAGATTCTTGCCAGGTAGAGTAATCTTGGTTGTAGGTTCTTCCCTTTCATCACTTTAAATATATCATGCCACTCCCTTCTGGCTTGTAGAGTTTCTGCTGAGAAATCAGCTGTTAACCTTATGGGAGTTCCCTTGTATGTTATTTGTCGTTTTTCCCTTGCTGCTTTCAATAATTTTTCTTTGTCTTTAATTTTTGTCAATTTGATTATTATGTGTCTAGGCATGTTTCTCCTTGGGTTTATCCTGCCTGGGACTCCCTGCGCTTCCTGGACTTGGGTGGCTCTTGCCTTTCCCACGTTAGGGAAGTTTTCGACTATAATCTCTTCAAATATTTTCTCTGGTCCTTTCTCTCTCTCTTCTCCTTTTGGGACCCCTATAATGCGAATGTTGTGGTGTTTAATGTTGTCCCAGAGGTCTCTTAAGCTGTCTTCATTTCTTTTCATTCTTTTTTCTTTATTCTGTTCTGTGGCAGTGAATTCCACCATTCTGTCTTCCAGGTCACTTATCTGTTTTTCTGCCTCAGTTATTCTGCTATTGATTCCTTTTAGTGTATTTTTCATTTCAGTTATTGTATTGTTCATCTCTGTTTGTTCTTTAATTCTTCTAGGTCTTTGTTAAACATTTCTTGCATCTTCTCGATCTTTGCCTCCATTCTTTTTCAGAGGTCCTGGATCATCTTCACTATCATTATTCTGAATTCTTTTTCTGGAAGGTTGCCTATCTCCACTTCATTTAGTTGTTTTTTCTGGGGTTTTATCTTGTTCCTTCATCTGGTACAAAGTCCTCTGCCTTTTCATGTTGTCTATCTTTCTGTGAATGTGGTTTTCCCTCCACAGGCTGCAGAATTGTAGTTCTTCTTGCTTCTGCTGTCTGCTCTCTGGTGGATGAGGTTATCTAAAAGGCTTGTGCAAGCTTCCTGATGGGAGGGACTAGTGGTGGGTAGAGCTGGGTGTTGCTCTGGTGGGCAGAGCTCAGTAAAACTTTAATCTGCTTGTCTGCTGATGGGTGGGCTGGGTTCCCTCCCTGTTGGTTGTTTGGCCTGGTGACCCCGCACTGGAGCCTACCCCTCTTTGGTGGGGCTAATGGCAGACTCTGGGAGGGCTCACGCCAAGGAGTACTTCCCAGAACTTCTGTTGCCAGTGTCCTCGTCCCCACGATGAGCCACAGCCACACCCCACCTCTGCAGGAGACCCTCCAACACTAGCAGGTAGGTCTGGTTCAGTCTCCTACGGGGTCACTGCTCCTTACCCAGGGTCCCTATGCACACACTACTTTGTGTGTGCCCTCCAACAGTGGAGTCTCCGTTTCCCCCAGTCCTGTCGAAGTCCTGCAATCAAATCCCTCTCGTCTTCAAAGTCTGATTCTCTAGGAATTCCTCCTCCCGTTGCCGGACCCCCAGGTTGGGAAGCCTGACATGAGTCTCAGAACCTTTACTCCAGTGGGTGGACTTCTGTGGTATAAAGGTTCTCCAGTTTGTGAGTCACCCACCTAGCAGTTATGGGATTTGATTTGATTGTGATTGCGCCCTCCTACCGTCTCACTGTGGCTTCTCCTTTGTCTTTGGATGTGGGGTATCTTTTTTGGTGAGTTCCAGTGTCTTCCTGTCAATGACTGTTCAGCAGTTCGTTGTGTTTCCAGTGCTCTCGCAAGAAGGAGTGAGCACACGTCCTACTCCGCCATCTTGCACCAATCTCTCACTTTGCTGTATACCTGAAATTAATACAACGTTGTAAATCAACTATATTCTGTATTTCAATTAAAAACAAAAAAAAGGCCTTGTAGGAGCTTGGTAGTCAAAGAACAGCAGAAGGCAGGTAAATGAGGAAGAGAGAAAGTAGTAAGACAGGACTTCCCTGGTAGCACAGTGGTTAAGAATCTGCCTGCCAATGCAGGGGACACAGGTTCGATCCCTGGTCTGGGAAGATCCCACATGCCGCAGGGCAACTAAGCTCACGCACCACAGCTACTGAGCCTGTGCGCTACAGCCTGAGAGCCACAACTACTGAGCCCACGCGCCGCAACTACTGAAGCTTGCGCGCTCTAGGGCCTGCATGCTGCAATTACTGAGCCCACGTGCTGCAACTACTGAAGTCCGCACGCCTAGAGCCCAAGCTCCGCGACAGGAGAAGCCACCGCAATGAGAATCTCACACACCGCGACGAAGAGTAGCCCCTGCTCACCACAAGTAGAGTAAGCTCGCGTGCAGCAATGAAGACCCAATGCAGCCAAAAACAAAAAAGTAGTAAGACAGAGGATCAGAGAGCCAGGCCCGTCCTGCCCCACAGGCTCTGACAGCAGAGGGCCAGGAGAAAGCCACTACCCCAGATGAGATCATTATCATCATCACCATAATAGTTAACAAGGACAACTGATTCTTTCTCAAAATTAGATAAAGTATAAACAAAGGACTTTTTGGAAAACTAAGATACTTTTATGGTTCTATGGATAAATCATGTTCTTGCCATGCAAATTCAGTTTCTACACTAATCAGACCGCTATGCCCATGACCCACTGTGATACTGTAGAGCAACTGGTGGAAACAGAATCCCTTCCTCACCCTCAGACAATGCCAATGCCCATGCCAAATGTGTTCCAACTATGACGCACCAAAGCCATGACCCTCAACCCAAGCTGGGACCCACATGAAAGGTACTAGGGAAAGGTTCCGATTTCTCTGCACTATCAGATCTGGTCAAGGCTGTTGTTCTTCACACCAGGGTGGATCAGCAGACCTAGTTAATGCTGAAATCACTGGAGGTAATTAAACAGGCAGGATTGGGCTTGGCCTCAGAGAGGAAGGGGGGAGGGGGCTATGCAGATTTTCCTTTCTTCAGTGTCAACATTATAAAATTGGCATTGGTACCTACTTCCTCCTGATGCCATTTAGTTTTGGAGGCAAAAACCCAGGGGAAAGGAGTCAGATGGATTGGGAAGTCAGATGCAGAGGTCAACGTTGGGGTCTGTAGTTTTATGCAAAAATGTCTGCTTTTTATCTAAAGTGGGGATTTGCAACTGGGATCGATTTTGCCCACCCCTACCCGCCTGGGGCCCTTTTGGAAACATGTGGAAACATTGTCCTCGGGCTATGTCATTCTTTCAAAGGTTGTGGACTGCCTCCTTCCCTCCTGTTTCAGAATCAAGTCAAAATGGAAGTTTATGGTGAGAATGCAAAGGTATTACGGAAACAAAGCCCAGACAGAACATATGGGCTTACAAAGCCACCAGGAATCAGAGTGCCCAGTGCTGTCATCTCTACCTCTGTTTTCTCTCCCAAAAGATGACTTTCTTCTTAACTGTCTTGCATATAGTCTAGTAATATACTACGCTCAGCCCCACTTTGACTCTAAAAGTCCCCATGTCTCTCGGCTTGGCTGCCCTTAGTTAACTGGCATCCTCTGTCAATACCCCAGTGATAATTCCCAGAGGAGGGATTAGATGGGTGTAGCCTGGGCCATTCTTCAAGATGACTCTGGCCGCAGCCAGACGACTGCAACTTCATGAGAGACTCTGACAGAGAACTAGCTAAACGAGCCTTGTCAAGCCTGAGGACCATGAGCAAAAGGGGACACTTGTGGGTGGGGGAAAGGAAACAGGACGGAGGGAGGCAGGGCACAAGCTTTGAAAGAATGACATAGCCAGAGGATATGATATAAACTGATTAGAACCAAATGGGTGCAAGATGGTGGACAAGTCGACTTCCACTAGACCTTGAGCTTCAGTATACGCTTACATCAGCAAGCTAAATGACACACCCACAGGCGCCATGACAGTTCCAAGATCAACCATAAGGATCAGAAAGTGGGCGGTGGCCCAATTCCTGGAAATCCCCGCCCCTTCCCGAAACAGCTGGAATGCTCCGCCCACTCATTAGCCTATGAAATTACCCACCACTATAAAAACTGACAACCCCATACCCTGCTGCCTTTCTCACCTTCTGAGGTGGCCCACACTCTGTCTGTGGAGTATGTTTCTCTCTAAATAAATCCATTTTTTACCTATCACTTTGTCTCTCGCTGAATTCTTTCTACAATGAGACATCAAGAACCTGAGCTTCGGGCTTCCCTGGTGGCGCAGTGGTTGAGAGCCCGCCTGCCGATGCAGAGGACACGGGTTCGTGCCCCGGTCCGGGAAGATCCCACGTGCCGCGGAGCGGCTGGGCCCGTGAGCCATGGCCGCTGGGCCTGCGCGTCCGGACTCTGTGCTCCGCAACGGGAGAGGCCACAACAGTGAGAGGCCTGCGTATGTGTGATCTCAGTTGGAAGACTGTGGGTTTTGGCCAGGTTCAAGTCTCGGCTGTGTGGGTTCAGGTCCCAATCTGAGGTGCACGGTTTCAGAAAGTTTGACACTGTTGTCTGCTCTAATGCCAAAAAGTAGGAAACATACCTCATAAACATGATGATCTGACCAACCTGCCTCTAGTAAAATACAAAGAAGAGAGAGAAGCTAAGAAAAGGAACTTTTTTGGTTTTCAAGCAGAACGCAGAGGTTATGTAAAAGCCAGTGTTTTCTGGGTTTGAAAATAAAACTACTTCTCACTCCCAGCTTCTCCAGAGGGCAAACTATTCTCAAAATAAAATGGTTTTCCAGCAAAGGATGAGCACTGCATCTTTTGTTAAGAGCTCAGAGAGGTTTAAGAAGGTACCTCATTAACCATTCCAAACAGACAAAATCCTTCTAAAGAGCTTAAGGGTGTGCCTTCCTATCTCCATAAACAACAGGATTTCTGAGATTCCTAAGGGCACTGTCCCACAGTGGTTTGAAAAGGCATCCAAGGTAGAAAAGGACTTACAGGAGCCAAAAAGATTTGTGTCATGGTTTTTTTCCCCATGCAAGGAACTCCAGTAAAAATCATAAAAATCCTCAAAGTTTTTTTAGAATCAGTTTGAACGAAAAGAGAAGGAGATACATAACAATCTGATACATAGCTCTGAGTTCTGTAGGAACTAAGGCCCCCCACCCAGATGGAGGATGGTAACTGCATGCTAAGACCCCAGGCTGGTCAGAACCTAAGGAATGATAATATTGACCTTTCCTGACCCTCGTGACTTCAATCAACTCAAGCTCTGTCAGCCTTTGCCCCAATTCTAGGCTGAATTCTCTGCTCAAGCCCCTTCATGAATATGTATATACCCTTAGCTTAAAACTTCCCCAGTTTTGCCTTGGGGAAGATCCCAGGTGTTCTCCTTGCTTACTGCAAGTAATAAATCCTTCCTTCTCCCACTCTTTGACTTGGTTGTGTCATTTGGCTTCCACATCCACCAAGAGGTAAACCCAGTTTGCGGGTAACAGGCAGAGCTGCAGAGAAGCATTGACTAGAACTGGACCCTAATCAAGGAACCCACAATACATTTACTACAGCACTCAGATGCCTATAGCCCACAGCTGGATGTTAGGTATGGAAGACAGATAAGTTATCTTTCTACTTCACAGATACTCAGATCAAGACTCATTCTTGGGCTTCCCCGTGGTGCAGTGGTTAAGAATACGCCTGCCAATGCAGGGGACACGGGTTTGAGCCCTGGTCTGGGAAGATCCCACATGCCACAGAGCAACTAAGCCCATGAGCCACAACTACTGAGCCTGCATGCCACAACTACTGCAGCCTGTGCGCCTAGAGCCCGTGCTCCACAACAAGAGGAGCCACTGCAATGAGAAGCCCGTGCACCGCAACGAAGAGTAGCCCCTGCTCGCCACAACTAGAGAAAGCCCGCGCGCAGCAAAGACCCAATGCAGCCAAAGATAAAAAAAAAAAAAAAAAATTTTTTTTTTAATTAAAAAAAAAAAAAAAAAAAAGACTCATTCTTGAAGAGCTGTAACTAAGAAACCACACTCAAGGCACCTCCGGTCATACCTGGAAATGATACCAAAGACGAGATCCTGGACTTCAAGCCTGAACCTGATGGCATGAGAAGTTTGGGAGCATCTCATGATGGAACAAGTTCATTTTGCTGAAAGAGGAAAAGAAATAATTTGTGGTCAGAAGCAGACTGTGGCAGTTTTTAAATATGGCCTCCAAATTCTTTGACGTTCATGGAATGTCTCCTTCCCCTCAATCTTGGCTTGATCCATAGAAAATAGCAGAAGTGGCCCTGTGCCCGTTTCTGGCCCAGGCCTTTAGAGATGAGCAGCTTCTACTTCCTTCCGTTTCCTTTTGGATCCCACCTATCACACTTTGAGGGAGCCCAGGCCACAGGGAGAGGCCAAGTGTATGTGTTCCAGCAGATGGTCCCAGGGAGATCCCAGTCAGCCTCGGGGGCCAGACCTGAGGGTAAGAAACGCTTTAAGATGACTCCAGCCCTAGCTGATATCCGACCACAACCAGATGACAGACAGTGAGAGAGACACAACTAGCTGAGCCTGGTCAAGTCCCAGAACCACGTGAGGTAACAATTAAATGAATGTTTTGAAGCCACTAAGCTTTGGAGTGATTTGTTACACAGCAATCGATAACCAGAACAAATACTTTCAGTAGTTTATATAATCTCAAATTGTTGGAATGTGTGACAATGAGCATAAATAACTTTAAAAATTATAAGGAGTCACTAAAATAAAAAAATAAATTAAAATTTACTATTAAAATGACACAAGGCTTTGGAATCAGCAAGAACTACGTTCAAATCCTGGTCGGCATCCGATGAGTTGTATGACATTAGATAAGCTACCTAGCCTCTCTGATTCCCAGTTCCTTTCTCATTAAAATAGAGTTAGTTAAGAACACCTATCATATAAGGTTGTTGTGAGGTTTAAAATCAGAGAATAAACGTAAATCCCTTAGCCCAGTGCCTGGTAGTTGCTCAATAAACAGTTCTCATCATTGTTGCCAACATGATGGCTAGCAAGGTCTCTGGTGATGAACAGCCCACCTCTCATGTAAGAGCACTAAGAGCTCTTTTAAGCAGGCTGACCAAGTGCCAGTTTGCCTTGTGCAACACTGGCTGGATGACTGTGGAAATACGCATTCCGAATAGGGCTTAGGCATTTGTTTGGTTCCAGATGGAAATCCCTCTAGTACAGTTGCTGTTGGAAATAGGCTCACCTAGACTTGAGCATCAGTGGGTATGAAGTGAGAGGTGAGAGGGGAACAAGGTAAAGGAGATAGACTTCTATACCATGGACAAGACCAGCGCTGTACACAAGCAGTCAGTTTCTGAAGAGTGGATGGAGGATCTAGTTTGATTTCATGTTAGCTAGTCAATTCAGCTAGTTGAATGTTAATTAAAAACTGGCTTTCACAAAGACCTAAAGTTCATGCCACAGAACATCCAAAGCAAGAGGCGGTGAGGCTCATGACATAAGGAAGCTTGCGATCCAGTTAAGGATGTTAATTCGGTCATTCTTACACTTCACTGGGTTTATGCCGCCTTAGGCTTTTTTTTTTTTTAAGTCTAGAACAGTCTCCCCTCTTTTTTTTTTTTTTTTTTTGGTATGCGGGTCTCTCTGTTGTGGCCTCTCCCGTTGCGGAGCACAGGCTCCGGACGCACAGGCTCAGCGGCCATGGCTCACGGGCCCAGCCGCTCCGCGGCACGTGGGATCTTCCTGGCCCAGGGCACGAACCCACGTCCCCTGCATCGGCAGGCAGACTCTCAACCACTGCGCCAATGGGGAAGCCCTGGTCTCTTTGCCTCTAGTCCCACCTAACTGCTATCTTTACCACAGCCCAAGTAAACTTTATAAAATGTGCTTCTAATCCTGACACTCTCAGGCTTTTAAATCTTTGGTGGGTCCCTGTTGTTCTTTGAACAAAGTCCGAACTCTTTAACATGGTTCAGAAAAAAAACTTTGTCTGGTTTAAAACCCTCCAATGGTATCACATTGCTTCTAGAATGGAATCCAAACTCTTCCCTGTGCCCTACTAAGCCTTGCATGAACTGGATCCTCTCTGACCTCACCTCTCCCCATGCTCTACCTCCCCCCCCTCATTCCACTCCAGGCACGCTGGCCATCTTCTTGTTTCCCCCAGCATGCCTTAGAGCCTTTGCACTTGCTCTCGCCTCTGCTTAGAGCACTCTTTCTTGAGTTCTTCGCACAGCTGATTCCTTCTTAAACCTCCCTAACCGTCCAATCTGTTACACACACATCAAAGAGTCAGTTGACTCTCTTAACAGCACTTATCATAAGCTGTAATTGTCTCACTTCTTTATCTGTAGGCCCCATGAAAGCAGGAATCCTATCAGCCAGGGTCACTGCAATATCCTCAACTCACAGAACAGTGCCTAGTATACAGTGTGTGCTCAAACTTTGTTTTGAATGAATGACTCTCCATTTTGCAGACTTGGAATCCAAAGCTCAGACAGCTCAGGAGACTCGCTTAAGCAGCAGAGCTGAGTGTGACTGATTTTGAAGTCCATGCTCTAGGCCAGTGCTGCTCAAAGCAGCTGGTCAGAGAACTGTCTGTTACCGGTCCAAGCCTAAGGCAGTGACGGATTGCACCAAAACAGGGAAGAATACAACGCTACTTTCACTGAGCATATCTTGCTATGAAAAAAAGAGCGGCTGAACTGCAAACAGTGTGCCTAGTGACGTCGTGGATGTATTACATTCTGTGGCAAGCTCCCTATCGAATGGGGAGCTAATCACAAACGGGTGGTGTCGGCACTCACCTGTGCCCCACGCTTAGATTAGCATTAGTCTGGCGACCACACCGTACTCCTTACTCTTCTTCATGCCTTAGCCGATGACTTCCTGTGAAGCACCTGCTTTATTCCTGGCTCCCTCTTCCTCTCTTCTGTGGGCTGGTGCACAGGAAGTGTCTGATAATTTGTATTGCAGATGAAGAGAATACTGAGAAGGTTTTTTGCTTTTTTTTTTTTTTAATGCAGTTTTTCAAAGCCAGCAAACAAACCTATTTTTTTTTATTATTCCCCGGTTTTGGAATTTTCATGAGGCTCCAGGCTCCAGAAAGCTATTCTTGCTGGCTAGTTGGCTAAGCTCTCAGTCAGAGTCCTGATTTCCAAAGCAGAACTGTGCAAACTATTTTTATTATACACACTGGCCTCACAGCCTAAGGCAGTGACAGCCTGAAAAATCCTGTGATGCTGGGGCCTGTCCTTATGTGCTCTTAATCTCTAATTATACTGGTGCAGAGCTCCCTAACCAGAATCTGCCCCCCTTCTCCATCACCATGGGCTTTCTATCAGTGCTTTCACTTCTAACCTCACCAAATAGCCCCCCTAAACACATACACGCACACGCACGCACGCACACACACACACACACAAATACCCCATGCCAAGATAGCATGCTAGTAAGAAAGACTTGCTCAGTCCTTCAAATATTCAATGAGAGCTTTCTCTGTGTCAGGAACTGTGCTAAGAGTTAAGGATTAAAAAACACAGTCCTTGTCCTCTGGGATCTTTCTGAGCTGAGTCAGGAAGTCAGACGAAATATGACGCAAACAGTGTCACGATGAATACTATGAACAAAAGTCCTAAAGTTTTCTAAGATGTCAAACAGGCACCTTGCATACCATACGGTAGTGAAAGCAGAAGAGACATTTAAATGGCAGCTTGAATATCAGCGTGAATGCTTTGTCTCTGCAGGAGTCACCACCTGAGCTGTCATGGCCAGCGACTGTATCAAGCACTTTAGATGCAGGAAGTCATTTCGTCTTCACAAAGGCTGAAGGCGTGGGAGCCATTTTTATCCTCATTTTACAGATGAGGAAACCAAGACCCAGAGAGGAAAAAGTACCACTCCAAAGCTTCACAATCAATCAGAGATCAGGACCTAGTTCTGCTGGATTGTGATGTCTAGCTTTTAACCATTGCACTCTGCTCTAATTTGGTCAAAACCTTTAAAAATAAATACACTTGCGTAGGCGTCCCAGGGCCAGGAAGAGGTCCATCTATAATTAGAGCTGTCCCTGATTAAACATGGTGTTAGGAAATACACAGTGATTCCCGGGTGCTATGCTCTTCAGTGTTACGCCCATAAAGTACAATGATTCTCTCCTACTAAATTGCCTTTGTTGTCAGTAATTATTGGTTTTGGAAGTTTCTAGAAGGATGAGTTTCCAGGTTGCATCTGAAGGACTTGAACCCAAACTCATCCAATTTAATCATTTGTGAGCCAACTTCCTGGATCAGACCCCATGCTAGACTTGCGGATACCAAACAGAATAAGTCACAACCCTAGCCCTCAAAGAGTTCATCTGGTATTGAAAGAGACAGGTGAGTAAATGGACCGCTATGTTATGATGCAATGAGTGGTAAACATAGAAGCATGTATAGGGACCAGAAGTAGCATAGAGGAAAGGAAGTCTTTCCAGAGGAGGGGATTTCTGGGTTGGGTTTTAAAGTATAAATAGGCTTTCAATGGGAACTCAAGAAGAGAGGCTTACACATGCATAAGAGGTAACAGCAATGGGCAGTAGCATGTACTCAGTTTACTATAAGCAGTTTTGTCTTATCAGAGCATATAATGAAGGGTGCAGAGAGGCAAGAGATACAGCTAAAGAGGTTCCCAGCATCCAATCACGATGGGTCTTATGTCCTAGGATGGGATTTTATCCTGAAGACAATACTGCGGGAGAGGCATGGTTCTAAGCCCTGGAAATGATACGGTCTGGTTTGCTTTTGAGAAAACTCACTCTGGCATCGGTAAGGAGGCCAGATGGGATAAAGTCAGCCAAGAGGCAGGAAGGACCTTTAAGAGTATAAATGTCAAATGCAGAGGCTGGTGCTCAGGCGAGAGCAGTGAGGTCAGACAGGAAGGAGTAGATGCGAGGATAACAACAAGAGGACCAGGTGACTGGCTGGATGTGGACTGTGAGGGGGCGAGAGGAGGCCAGGATGACTCCCAACTTTCTGTGTTGGGCGAGTGGGTGGGTGCTGGTACCATGAGCTGAGGCAGGGCCTTTAGGAAAGTGAGTGGGCAAGAGAAGAGGGGGTGGGAGGACGACGAGCTCCTATCTGGACTAGCTGAGGTTACTGAGCCAGGAGGTGGGGATCAGCGGGCAGGGCAGAGCTCCAGAGAGAGGCTCTTCTCTGTTCCCACAGGGGAATACCTGACAGGACTCATTCCTGGGCAGGGCAGGAGTATGTGACACCCAAGCTGCGGATGCCTCTAAAATGCAAACCGTCAACTACTGAAACAAGCTGACTGCTATAACAAAGCATGCATTGTGTCCCGCATCTGAGGAGAGGATGGCCCTAGAGCAGGGGTCCCCAACCCCTGGGCCAAGGACCAGTACAGGTCCAAGGCCTGTTAGGAACCGGAGGTGAGTGGCAGCTGAGTGAGCAAAGCTTCATCTGCCGCCTGGACCATCCCCCTCCCCGCCCCAAACCGTGGAAAAACTGTCTTCCACGAAACCGGTCCCTGGTGCCAACAAGGTTGGGGAGCGCTGCCCCAGAGGATCAGTAAGACCAAGGCAGAACGCTTGATGTCCCGCTTATTTATTCCCCATGCTCCCCTTCTTTGTAAGTGACACTACCGTACACCCTAGAGCTCAAGCCCAAACCCTACAACTTACCCTTCAAGCCTCCCTTTCCCTCCCCCCATCCACTTCATCTAATTCATCTTCAACCACCACTCTATCTCTCAAACACCCCATCACTCGTGATCCCTCATCCTGCGTTGTTATCTTCATAAGCATTTATGCTATCTACATATACTATCTAATTTATACTACTGAATATAATACTCTACGTCGGTCTACTTGCTTGCTGACTATGTCCCCATTGGAATATAAGCTCCAAGAGGACGGGGGCTTTGTCCTGTTCTTCATCATATCCCTCATCCCTACAACAGTGCCTGGCGCACTGTAGGAGCTCCATAAGTGTTCCTTAAATGACGTTCTGCATCTGAGCACTTCTCTCTCTCTCTCTGCTGCCACCACACGGATTCAAGCCCTCGCACAGTTCCCGGAGTGCTCCCAGCACACACTTGGCAACTGACGGCATGTGGGCCAGGACGGAGGGGAAGGAGCCTGAGGTGACTAGTCTTTACAAGTCCTGGTACCTCTCCAATCCACCCATTTTTCACGAAGCAGCCGGAGTAGCCCTCTAAGATTAGAGATCATCTCACTCCCCTGCTTAAAATCTTCCAGTGGTCCTCAAGGCCCAGCATGCCCACTTCTGCAACACCACCTCCGATCACTTTACCCCTTGCTCTCTACTCCCCGTGCTCTGCTTCTGTCCCTCCACCCAACTGACCTTCAGTACCAGCCACACCTCTGTCCTCCCCAGCAATCTGCAGGGATCTCTGCTCATACACCGCCTCCTCAGAGAAGCCTTCTCTGACCATCCAAGCTGAAGTGCAGCCCCCCTCCTCTCCTGCGATCCCAGGCACCCTCCAGCACGTCAACCTGGTTACTTCCTTCACATCACTTATCACAGCCTGTTCTCGTTTACTGAATTGTTGACTTGATTATTGTTTCTCTCTTTCTTACCTCTCTCTCCCCTGGCATGTATTCCAGTGTCAAGGCTCCGGAGTCAAGGCTCAATTATTATTTGTCGGACAGAACTGTGTTTCCACTAGCGTGACGGTGATGATGATCATAATGATGATGCCGATGACACTCATACTAATGACGCTCCCCACGATGAGACGCTGGTTTGATTCTGTGGATTCAAGGACTGACTGGAGCATGTTCTCGACCATCTAATTAGAGACAGAACCCATTGTTACCAGCTTGGTCTGGGCTTTGAAGCTAGAATGTGTGTGTGTTTGTGTGTGTGTGTTTTCTTCATACCAGGAGACCTCACAGTCATCATTAGGTACAATCTACCACCTGTCTCCAGGGAGACCCACTCAGTAAAAGCAAAATGAGCATGTGTCAGGTCTCCTCTGTCACTCTGCAAGATGGGGCGGATTAACTGTGTTTGGTAGACAATAAATATTGAGACAGGAAGTGCTCAGATCAAGAACTTCCCTTGGACCCTTTAGATGTTCTTTGCAGCTCCTGCACTCACTCTGCCGGAAGGATTCTGAGGACATGCTAGGGAAGAGAGAAAATGCAGTTAACCAGACAGTGCTGGAGGGAGGGATTAGGGCTGATAGCCAACAGGGGCTGCAGAAGAAAGATTCTGGCCAGAAACTGAGGCATGATGACCTGTCAGTTTCAGTAACACTGGGGAAAACTCGAACTCATCTCCTACTGCTCCTAAAAAAGAGGCATACGTTAATGAACCTCAATTCAGAGATGGAAGAAATCTCAAACAATTGTTTCATTTTACAGATGTGTAACTTGAACCCAGAGCAGAGAAAGGGCTTTCCCAGGGTCATACAGAAATTCCATGACTGATCTAAGGCTAGGATTCTCACTATTTGAAGGTCAGTGTTTTTCTCACACATGACAACACAGGTGCAAGCCTAACACTGAAGCTAAATTAAACTAAGTTATCTATGTATGGCCACAGAAACTAGCAAAAGCCTGTGTCCAAAACTTACCCAAGGGAATTCCCTGGTGTGGCGGTGCGGTGGTTAGGACTCCACGCTTTCACTGCTATGGGCCCAGGTTCAATCCCTGGTCAGGGAACTAAGATCCCACAAGCCGTGCCCCGCGGCCAAAAAAACGAAAACAAAAAACTTACCCAAATTCCTATGGCTCAAGCTTCCCTGGTGGCGCAGTGGTTGAGAGTCCACCTGCCGATGCAGGGGACACGGGTTCGTGCCCCGGTCCGGGAAGATCCCACGTGCCGCGGAGCAGCTGGGCCTGTGAGTCATGGCCGCTGAGCCTGCGCATCCGGAGCCTGTGCTCTGCAACGGGAGAGGCCACAACAGTGGCCGCGTACCAAAAAAAAAAAAAAAAAAATTCCTATGGCTCTCATTTCCACCTCACTTTCCTCTTGGTTCATGGCCAGCCTATTACAAGGCACAGGTATCCCTTCCCCTTTGACTTCCAAGCAGATGCTACCAAATGAGGCAGGAATATCTGTTGGTAGACAACAGGGTTGCACACGAGACTTAAGCAGCGGGTGAATCATATGAGATAGTGAACACTCTTTGAAGCCAAGTCAATCAGAAGTCATGGCTCTCACTCCAAAAAAATGTGGGAAAACAGGACCATTCAAGAATATCGAGTGTTCTGTGTGGGATGGAATGACTTGGGGAAAATAAGAGGAAAAGAAAGTTAAGTCTACCACTCAGGGTTCTAAGTTATCAGGTCACATATCTGGGAGCTCAGAAGAATGTTTCTATAAAAAATATAAATAAAAATATATTTCTAAATAACAAATGTGGAAACTGAGATCAAAATAACAAAAGATAAGGAACCACAAAGCACCAATCAGACCTCAGGTCCAATCCTAAATAATTACCTTGGACAAACAGTCTAGATACTTAATCTTTCTCCCTTATCTTTACAGTAAGGATAACAATGGCAATAAAAACATAGTCATCACTTACTGATCACTATCTCTACGACAGACAACGAGGTAAGCACTTTATATGCCTTCTTTCAATTCAATCTTCATCTCAATCCCATGAGATGTAGGCATCATCATTCCCAATGAGAATCAGAGAGATGAAGTAATTTGCCCAAATTTATAACCAAATCGCAGAACCAAGATGTGAATTCAAGTTTAAGCTCTTAATCATTATATTTCAATCATTATATTTCAAGCTAGCTCTTTGTTCATGCTCCCTAAATGATCGTTTGTGTCCCTTCCGGTTCTTATTCACAATCCATGTCATATCCTCCACAAAGAAGGTGCAATAAGGCTCAATCCTCCATTGCCAACTCTCAAACCATCTATTGCCAAAGTCACTAAATTCCTGGTCAGCTAATTGGGGGAGGGGAGGCCAGGAGAAGAGCTCCCAGTGCTGTCCTTTCCCATTCCAGCTAGAGAACTCAGAATCTAGCAGGCACAGGGAAAGGAGGGAGAACTGTAGCACCTAATTTTCTTTTCTGGGGATCAACTTCCCCTTTGGAAGGAGGGAGCTGGGCTACAGGGCCCCTGAGGGGACCAAGGAACTGCGGCAAAGGGCATGTGTTCCCAAGTGACTTAACTTCTCAGTTCCTGTCCCATCTTCAAAAGGAGTGATAGATAATAATTGCACGCACTTCACAAAGTTACTTAATTAAATCAAATAATTCCCCAAAAGAGCTCAGCAGAGTGCCTGGGACCTGGTAAGCATTCAATAAATGTTACCTATTATTGCTATTGCCATTACTATCATCATCATTCCAACTCCAGCATTCGCGGTGTCTCTATTAAGCAAGGGGATTCCTTCGTGAATGACTTTAATTTACAAATGCATTCACTGGTCTGTCTAAAGAGCGGCTCTAGAGCCCTGTATTTACCGCTTTTCCTGGCACACTGACCAGGTTTTCTGCCTCCAAAGTCTGCGACTTGCAGAACTGCCATGATACCACCAGCAAAGACTTCCCTTCCCTTTCTCCCTCCGCGGCGGTGCGAGGCTTCAGCTCTAGGGTTCGGGAGCCCGCCCACATCAGCCACCATTGGTAGCCCCGTCGCTGGCGTGATTAAGGCCCCGCCCCCTTCTCTCTGGGACCACTCTGAGGCCAGCTCCGAAAGCGGAGGGGCCTCGGAGGAGGGCCCGCGATGCGTCCTGGGTTTTGTAGTCCATCTGTAAGGCTGCAGCCTGAGAGCTGGGCCTTGCGACCCGGGGAACTACAATCCCCAGCAGCCGGGCGGAGAGCGAAGAGAGGGGGCCCTCGCGTCACGTGGGCGCTGGGCCTGGGCGGGCTGCTTCTCAGTGCGGCGGCGGCGGCTCGGGGAACCGGGGCCTTTTGTTTGGAGCGGCGGCGGGGGGCCCCGGAGCGGCGAGGCCGGCGGCCTTCCCCTGCTCGCTCGGTCCCGGCCGCCCCTCGCGGGGGTGGGGGGGCCGACCCCTGGGCCGGGGCCTAATCTCAGGCGCCCCCGCCCCGCCCTTGGCCCGCCCCGCTCGGCCCGAGGGGAGGAACCGGCCGGGCCTCCCCGCGCGGCCCAGCTACCTCCGGAGTCTCCGCCGCAACCCTCTGCGCGCCGTACCCGAGGCTGCCTCTCGCCCCTCAGGCCGACGCCATGAAGATCAAGGATGCCAAGAAACCCTGTAAGATGGGGGCTTGGGCTCGTCGGGTGGGAGAGCAAGTTGGGCCACGTCGGGAAGCCCCTTGTTGTGGTGGCCTGCTTCGAAGCCGGTCGCTCCCAGCCGTCGCCCAGCACGGGATGGGGGCGGAGGGACCTTTGCAGCACCCGGTTCGAGGCTCCCTCCCATCCCCCTACGCTCGGTTGACGAACGCTTGCCGCCCCCTAGCCTTTCCTCCTCGAAAGCTGGGAGGTGCAAGGGGGAATTTTTGTTCTGGGGTTTGGCAGGCAAGACCAGAGTTACCAGCTTCCTCTGAAGTCAAGTTGAAAATGGGTTGTCACAGATGTCAAGTTGCGCGGGGACATTTACCACTTTTTAATTTTTTTAAACTGATTTCTGAGCTTTCTGCTTGTGTCCTTGAAATCCCGGTGGGTTCCTGGGAGTTGTCTCTGTTGTTATAATTAGAGCTTTTAAACACGGCATGTAACCTACCGGTGGGTAAGTGCCGTGACTTGTTTAGAATAACAACTAGTTCATGTTTCTTTTTTTAAAAACGGATAAAAAGATCAAAGTCATCCGTATTCCCGCCACTCAGAGCTAACCACTATTAATCTTTTGGTGACTACCCGTAGAGATTTTTCTACGACTATATATAACCTATACTTATAAAAAAAAAAAATTTTCCATACTGAAAGAGAGTAGATCAACTTTTATTTGCTTCCTTTTATTTTTAGCCTTTTAAAAACCTTTTACTCCTGTGAATGGCTTATTTAATCACTCAGCCGTTGTGATTGTCATACTTGAAGTTCGTTCTTCCAGAGCGACTAGGAATGCGGGATGCATGCTTCTGTCTTAGAATTGTATTGGTGTTTTGCCATTTTGCAGTGTTGTGTGATCCTCCCAACAGTTCTAGGAAATCTCTTGCTATAGAACGGGAGCACTGATACATTCTTTTCCCGGCCGCCCGTCCGGTCGTGAAAACCTCCACGGAGAGGCAACATACCAAAGCACTCCAGAAACTGTTGTTATTTAAATGTGAGATAATTTGGTTCTCATTTTACTGCTGAGGAAAACTGAACTTACTGAGCCCCAGAGTAACTTTTACAAGGCTGCATCTTGTACAACTTGTACACCTTGTACACCTTTTACAACTCTGCTAACTGAGGTTCAGGGCCCTAAGTCACCTGACTCATAGTCCTGTGTTCTTTCTTTTGCACCTGTAGGGCGTAGTCTAAATACTTAGAGAAGCACAAACCTTTCTGATCTGGTAGTTTTATCTGCCAGTTAAAACATTTTTTTAAACAATGATTTTAAAAAAAAAGATAGCTAAAGAGTTCTCGTTCAGGAGTCTATGAAATACTGATGTGAAGTCTTAAAATGAGAGAGTAATATAGAAATACTACTATTTTACTGTACATTTGCTGAATTAAATGATTCTTGAACAGATGCAGTAATGTAGAACAGTTGGACATCTTCCCTCAACACATAGGTTTTCTCTGCTTGTGTTAGAATTTCCATTTAGTAAAATGAGTTTAACTATGACAAGCTTATATTCTGACCCTTATGGTATTATTTTATTTTTGCCTTGACAGCGATTTGATTACTTAGATTTGGGCAAACTTATAATCAGGTGTGAATACCATCTCTGGCAAAGGTGTTTCATATCTAGTAAAGATGATAATTAAGAGTTTATAAAATAAACTTTAGGTTGAGAAATAAAAGAACATGTATTTTTTAGAAGTAATTTGTTTATTAATATATTGTGGTACACTGTGAGACCATTAATGTTAAAAGAGTTATGCTGAAAAACCAGTTAATATGATTTAGAAGTCTGAAATAACATTTCCAGTTTCCTATATGTAAAAGATGACTTTACTGTCCACTCAGCTCTTTACAGTAAAAATAAAGAACATCTTGTTCTTTTGCATGTGGGAAAGAAAGTATTTCAACTATGAACTGTCATGGAAATATATATATATAACTGGAAAGTATTATTTCTGATGTTTCAAACCACTCAGTTTAGCTAAAGACACACTTGTTTTTGAGTTCTTGCGTAGGGTTTCTTTTTTTTATAATCATAAATTTAGTGAGCACTTTGTATGTAAGCACTATCTTTACATGCATTGCGTCATTTAATCCTTAGAGCAGCACTAGTAACTAAAAACTGTATCTCATACTAGTTAAACAAGTGACTTTGGCTTCACACATTTTCTTACAGTTACTCACCCAAGTGTTAGAAAACATTGCTTTTTGATACATCACTAGTATATACCAGCCTATAAACCAAATGCCTGTATTTAACCAGAAAATAAGAAAAGGAATTGGTTTCACCCTCTAAATTGTATAACTAAAAGATGAGCATTTGAAATTATGTGTTAATTCAACTCCAGGAGAAGAATGAAGTCAAACAATCTAATGAAAATTTTTTTTCTAGAACCCAAACAGTGGCAATGTTTGCATTACCTTTACTTGTGTTTTTCACACTACTTAAATAATAGTAAAAATCTAAGCAGTGGTGTTCCTCTGTACCTCAACTGACATGATTTTTTAAGGTAAGGGTCAACCTCTGTTTTGCTCACCTGTAGAGCATGTA